GTTTGTCAGAAAAAATATGTGCAGGAAGTTCTGGACAGATTTCAAATGAAGAACTGCAATTCTGTCACTACACCAGTTGATAAAGGTGTAAAGCTCGTGAAAGATCCAGGAGGCAGATCTGTGGACAGCAAACTGTATAAGCAGATTGTTGGAAGTCTGATGTATTTGACAGCAACAAGACCAGATATAATGCATGGCGTAAGTCTGATTAGCAGATATATGGAGCATCCAAAGGAGTTTCACTTGCAGACTGCTAAAAGAATTCTCAAGTATTTATGTGGAACTGAAGATTTTGGACTGTTTTACAAGAAGGGTGACCAGACAGATCTCGCAGGCTTTACAGACAGTGATTATGCTGGAGATCTGGATGACAGAAAAAGCACTTCTGGGTTTGTTTTTATGCTGGGATCTGGTGCAATTTCATGGTCTTCAAAGAAGCAGCCCATTGTGACTTTATCCACAACAAAAGCGGAGTATGTGGCAGCAACTTCTTGTGCTTGTCAAGCTATTTGGTTGAGAAGAATTATGGAAGAACTTGAGCTGAATCAACATGAGGCCACTTCAATTTATTGTGATAACAATTCAGCTATCAAGCTTTCTAAAAATCCAATTTTGCATGGGAGAAGCAAGCATATACATGTGAGGTATCATTTCTTGCGCAACTTGGTAGAAGATGGAACAATTGAGTTGATTTATTGCAAAACAGAAGATCAAGTGGCTGATATATTCACAAAACCCCTCAAAGTAGCAGCTTTTTCAAAACTGAGAGAGTTACTTGGTGTTTGCAACATACAGAATTCAGTTTGAGGGAAGGTCTGCAGATTTCAGATTGCAGATCTACAGATATGGTGTTATCCAGATTTCTTTAAACTAAAGTCTGAAGACTTTCAGTTTAAGGGAGGGATTGTTGGAAATTAGATCCTATTATTTAGCCATTATCTTTATATTTTAGGAAGTTTAAGTTATTTATTTGTTTTAGGTTGTTATCATTTAAATTAGATAAGATAAGATTGGCTAGTTATCTTTTTAGATAATATTATCTTGTAAAGCCTATTTAAAAGCTAAATTATTTTCAGTTTAAAGTGAGATTCAGTTTTTCATTACATCTTCTTCTTTTCGAAATCCTTGATTTTTTAACAGTGGTTTGTTCCCATTGAACGTACTAGCATTTACCGGGGATGAATGAATAGATAAATAAATTAGTTTTCCAGCACCTCAGCTCAAAGTGCCCTTCCCTTATAAGTTGCTGCTGTTTTTTTTTTTTTTAATCAGATAATAAATTATATAAAAGGAGGTAATCTCCTTATGTGTAAGTTATTAATGTTAGTTTGTTTTTATATCTACCTATATAAAGACTAAAAACTAAATCTTATATTTTGTAGCTAAAAGCATAGCTAATTTATTACCACAACACATGGTTTCCGTTTGCCTATTAAACGCTGCAGCTTCTAGTTTTTGTACAGTGATTAGGAATTAAATGTTGTAGGTGATCCATCCCTTAAATCAAATAATATGGATATCCTTGATGAACCAAGATAGGTGAATCTTCGAAGGAAAAGAACCAATCAATATCCCACTACTCTTCATTCAAATA